ATGTTTAGTGAGTTCAGTGAATTCTTGCGCCTTAAGGGCAGGGATCTTCGTCTTGTATCGCCAGTGCCTAGAGCAAGGGCGGGCACACTGCAAGTGCTGGCACAGCGGATGTTTGCTGAACGAGCGCCTGGGTCTTACTGTTACTCTTCGTGTTTATTCTCTGCGGCTGCCCCTTCTCCTGAGTCAGTAACCTCCGTGAGAGGGCAGGGACCGCATCGGTCATGGTCACTGCTGTGTACCCACATTCAGTTCTTGATGGGACTGCCCAGTCCTTTTCGAGGGCCCTACGGTCACGGGCGATGAGGTGCTGCAGAAGAGCCTGGCACTGACTTCCATCCCCGTCTCTCCTGGTGCAGGAGGGAGATGACAAAATCGAGTACCGAGCCTGGAACCCCTTCCGCTCCAAGCTGGCGGCAGCAATCCTGGGCGGTATAGACCAGATCCACATCAAGCCAGGGGCCAAGGTGCTCTACCTCGGGGCCGCCTCAGGCACCACTGTCTCCCATGTCTCCGACATCGTAGGCCCGGTGAGTGGGGGCAGGTGGGGAGGTGGGGAGGCAGGAAAGACCACTTCCCCTCTGCCGCTGCACCGCGTGACTGAGGGCCGGGCCCTTTCCTCCCATAGTGCCCGTAAGTGCAAGGAGCAGTTTGAACCAGCTCGTCTCACTCAGCCTCGCCCCTGGGTTCTTGGCCTCAAGAGAAGAGGTGTGGGTTGGGGTGACCAGCATCAGAGGGACTCAGCTAGGAGTATAGCTACAGGCTGTTTGATCTGATGGCCCTCTTTAAAAATTCATGCCCCCAAAATCTGGTCTTCCAGATTCTCTTGAAAGAACCAGGAAATCTCATGGTTTCTGGGGGTGCATTTTGTGTGACTATATAGAGTTCCCATTTAGGGGGCACCCGCATGTCTCACTTAGTTACCCCTTGTTCCTTTATGTGATTCTAGGCTGTTTAATTTAGTGCTTAAAAACCCCAGGCTTCCGTAAGGCATTTAGTGCTGTGGCTTTTGGCAAGTTACCCAACCTCTCTGAACCTCAGTGTACTCCTCTGGAAAAATCGGGCAGTTGAGAAGATTAAATTAGTTAATTCCTCAAGGTGCTCAGAGCAGTGCCTGGCCCGTCACACACTTGTAGGTCTTGTTACTTCATCTCTGTGCTTGGCTTCCTGGTTTTAAGCTTCTGTTGGAAGCTTGGGCTCTCGGTTCGGCACATTGGGATTGGGTAGCTTTGCTGCTTTCTGAATAACCCATGGTCGGCAACTTCATGTCTCTGGACCTCAGTTTATTCATGTGTAAAATGGACATGATAACAATAGTCATTACATGGTAGGGCTTTGGGGATTAAAGAGATGCTGCGTGCGGTGTTCGCGCCCCAGAGCAGGCACCATACATGAGAACTTGAATCACTGTTAGTATTGTTTGATTTATTTTAGGATGGTCTAGTCTATGCAGTTGAGTTCTCCCACCGCTCTGGCCGTGACCTCATTAACTTGGCCAAGAAGAGGACCAACATCATCCCTGTGATTGAGGATGCTCGGCACCCGCACAAGTACCGCATGCTTATCGGTGAGGGGTCTGGGGGGTGGCCCAGGTGGGGTAGGACAGACCACTCCGGGTTTCCTGGAAGGGCCAGCAGAGGCCCGATTCGGATGGAATTGGAGTGGATGAGCAGGCCTCTTGAGTCTGCAGAGATGGAACCGGGGTGAGGGGAGCCAGGGGAGGTTGTGGAGGCGGCGACTCGGCTTCAGGGTCTCAGGTGTCTGGCTCCCTTGGAGGGCCAGCCTCCTTCCCTCCATTCTCCGCCCCCTCTACTCAGGTCCCTTGTACTTCTGCCTTCCTCCAAAACATGGTACTTATTACACTGCCCCTGGCTTCTGTATAAAAGCCTCCTTCAAGGGTCCTTGTCATCCTTTGGTGAGATCATAGCCCAGAACACTAACTGAGCATGGCTTGGCCCATTGTGAAATGACTTTATTTTTTAAAATTCAAAACTGTAATATGAAAAATGGAAAGCCTTATAAATCACCCCCAGAGGTAATTGCCAAGAACAATTTGATGCCTGCTTTTCCCAATTATTAAAGAATCACTTTTTATTACATCACTTTTTTTTTAATTACACCGCCTTAAAAATACTACCTCTCATTCTGCTCATTTTTCTTTCTGTGAGATTTTTTTTTTTTCCATTCACTCATAACCACCCCCCTTGTCCTGCAGCTTTCATTTGACAGTCCTGCCAATGCTCTTGCCTATAAGTGCTCACTTTTACTTGTCTTTTTGATGACGTGTCTGTCTCCCCCCCAGACCCGGGAGCGTCTCGAGGGCAGGGTCCGGGTCTGACTCGTCTCTATGTCCCCTACGCCCGGCCCAGGGCTGGCCACAGAGTAGGTGGCAACCATGGTTTACAAGAGGAGTGAATGAATGATGTGACTGTGGGTTTTGGACCCATCTTGGGGGCACTATGGAGGGAGGGGGTTCAGTGGGAGGGAGTGAGACTGGAGGCAGGGAGACTGTCCCAGGAGGAACCTGCTGGTGATGGGGTACAGGCCCCATGGGAGGATCTGGGAAGATCTCTGGTGGATTGGCTTTTAACTGCCGCCCCTTTCCTCTAGCAATGGTGGATGTGATCTTTGCGGACGTGGCCCAGCCAGACCAGACCCGGATTGTAGCCCTGAATGCCCACACCTTCCTGCGTAATGGAGGACACTTTGTGATTTCCATTAAGGTACGGGACTTGGAGGAGTCTGAGATGGGGTGGCAGTGTCCCAGGGAGCTATCTTCTTTATCCATGTCTGTTAAGCAGCCAGTCAAAATTAGGGGGCCTTCATACCCGCAATCTAATCAGTCTACTCCCAGCCTTTATTCCCACCCAGCTCCCCACAAGCTGCCCCCCGTCCCTCAATCAAATAGCATATGATAAAACGTGTCTGCAAAACTGAAAGCGTTGCATTCAAAGAGGCAAGAGAGGCCGGGCGCGGTGGCTCATGCCTGTAATCCTAGCACTCTGGGAGGCTGAGGTGGGTGGATCACTCAAGGTCAGGAGTTTGAGACCAGCCTGAGCAAGAGCGAGACCCCGTCTCTACTAAAAAAAAATACAAAGAAATTAGCTGGACAACTAAAAATATATACATATAAAAAAATTAGCCGGGCATGGTGGCGCATGCCTGTAGTCCCAGCTACTCGGGAGGCTGAGGCAGGAGGATTGCTTGAGCCCAGGAGTTTGAGGTTGCTGTGAGCTAGGCTGATGCCACAGCACTCTAGCCCAGGCAACAGAGTGAGACTCTGTCTCAAAAAATAAAATAAAATAAAGAGGCAAGAGAGATGTAGTGGTCAAGTGCGTGATTGTTGAATCTGACCATCTTGAGTTTGAATTCCAGCTTGCTCTGTGACTTTGGGCAAGTTAGTTAACCTATGTGCTTCAGTTTCTTCACTTATAAAATGGAAATCTTAGTCCAATCTCTTTTAGGGTTGATGTAATGATTAAATTAATCAGTGTATGTGAAATGTTGGGAACAGATCCTGGCATAGAATAGATCCTAGATAAATGGTAGGTGCGTCTTTCAAAATGTTTTCTTTTGACATACAAAGAAATCTTCCTGTGTACCCTTCACCAGGTCTACCATTTGTTAGCCTTTTCCTACATTTGTTTTATTATTCTCAGCTTCATTATTACTATTATTAAAGAAGAAGGAGAAAAAAGCAAATAATTCCTGGGTATAAAATGTAAACACTAGATTTTAGATAAATAGGACTCTGTTTACGGCTTCCTGCTCCAAATCCAAACCAAATTAAAAACTTTGACCACATTTCCAAAACCTGAGTGTCTTAGTCTGTTTTATGCTGCTATGACAGAACACTGCCAACTGGATACTTTATAATAAATTTATTTGGCCCACAGTTCTGAAGGCTGGGAAGTCCAAGATCAAGAGTCCACATCTGGTGAGGGCCTTCTTCCTACATCCTATGGCAGAAGGGACAAGGGCAAGAGAGCACGTGTAGGAGAGGGCAAGGGCAAGAAAGAGGGCATAATTGATCCTTTTTAGTGGGTACTCACTCCCATGATAGTGACATTAATCCATGATGTAATCACCTCTTGATGATCCCGCGTGTCCAACATTGTTGCATTGGGGATTAAGTTTACATGAAATTTGAGGGACACATTCAAACCATAGCACCGAATTTCACTTGCATTTCCAATGAAAACGTACTTCTGGTTTGAAGAGCATAAAAAAAGGAAAACAGCCCAAAGCCCTACTGCAGACTTCAAATCCTTTGTCCTCTGTAGGCCAACTGCATTGACTCCACAGCCTCAGCCGAGGCGGTGTTTGCTTCGGAAGTGAAAAAGATGCAGCAGGAGAACATGAAGCCCCAGGAGCAGCTGACCCTAGAGCCATACGAAAGAGACCATGCCGTGGTCGTGGGTGTGTACAGGTGAGCAGGGGAGCCCAGTAAGCCATCAAGATAAAGACCTCTGTCCCTTGCACCCAGAATGCCACAGTCCTGGGGACGCCCCTCACTCCTGTCTTCCTCTCACAGGCCACCCCCCAAGGTGAAGAACTGAAGCCCAGTGCTGTCTGGATTTCGAGAGATGTGTGTTGATACTGTTGCACGTGTGTTTTTTCTATTAAAAGACTCATCCGTCTCCCCTGTGTGCTGCTCATTGCTCGTTGACCGCTGTTGACAAGAGAGCGCATGCGCCCTTGGTCTACATTTAGAGGTGGTGGGGTTGGTTCTATCCGGTCATACAGCGCATGTTCCATGCCTAGCTGCCTCTTGCGCAGCCGCAACCAGGATTCCGGCGCTTGGGAGGGATTGGTAGCCCACTGCGCGTGTATGCCGGTAAGCGACCTCAGCGCGCAGGCGCGGAGTGTTACCCTGGGCCACGTGAGGGGAGTGGGTGGGAGGGCTAGGGGGCGGAGCCGGGGGGGCCGGTTTGTTGTGGTCGCCATTTTGCTGGTTGCATTACTGGGTAATCGGGGCCCTGGCTTGCCGTGTCCGCTGGATACTCAGCCAGTGGGCAGGTCTGAGCTCGGGCTCCCCGAGCAGTTTGAGTGCCCTTGCGCGCGCCCTCAGGTAACAACGCGGGGACGGGCGGGCCGGCACGCGCTCGCTGGGCGGGGGGCAGGACGGGATCCGCCCTGCCCGCGTCGCCACGAGACTTAGCACAGCCGAAGGAAGAGAGGAGGGGACGGTGGGCAGGTGCGGCCGTGCCTGGCTATTCATAGTCGGATTCCTGGAAGGGGCCGGCCCCGAGGGAGCCGTCTTTGGAGAGAGGCTGGGAGGGGGTAGCCGGGCCCCACTCCCGCCCTTTGTTTGGGCTCGGCTCCGCCGGCCGCATCGTCGTCGCTTAGCAACAGCTGCCCTAGGCTGTGATTGGTTGAGCTCTTGGCAGCAGCAACCAATAGCACGGTTGTTGCCATGGCAGGTGCGGATTGCCAAACTCAGTCGGGCCCCGCCTGCTCGGTGTCCGCCTGCCCGGGCGGGCCTCCTGGGGGGCGGGGGCGGGACGCCGGGGTCCCCAGGGGCGGGTGGCCGCGCTAGGCGGGGCCGGTGGGGCGAGGGTTAACCCGCCCCTCCCCCGTCCACCTGCTCTCCCCTTCCCCCCGCGTGCCCTGGGCTGACCCTCGTCCTCTCCTCTCCCCGCCTCCGGCGGCTGCTGTTGTCACCCACCGGGCGGCCTGTCCCGCTTGCCTTCCCCCGCCGCGGGGCTTGCCGGGCCGGCCGGGCCAGGGACTGGCGGCCGCTTTCTCAGCGCTGCCACTGCCGCCATGCTGGCTGCTCGCCCACCCCACTGGGGGCCCCACCGCGCCCCAGCCCCCCGTGGGCCCCGCGCCAGCCCTGACCCGGGTATGGGGTGGGGGCTGGGAAAGACGTCCTGGTGTGGGAGGGCCCCGGGAAAGAGGTTGATTTTGGGGGGAAGCTCCAAGAGTGGAGAGGTCCTGGAGTGGCAAGGCATGGGACATGGGGGAAGCCCTGTGGGGAGAGGATTTTGTTGTGCCGGACACTCTGGGAAGAGACAACTCTGTGATATTTGGGGATTTGGCTATGGGGGCCTTCTAGGAACCGGCACAGTTGTGGAATGATCCTAGTGTAGAGAGAGTGACTGGAGAAGGGGCTCTGGTAGGAATATTGGGGTGTATGTGTAGTGGGGCAAGGATGTGTTGTAGGGGAGAAAAGGACGATCTCTTTAAACTGTGGGAAGAGGCATCTCTCCCTCGCTCCCCTCCGGAGGAGTGGGCCTTGATTGGGAGGGGATCTTGAAGTTATAGCACGAAGAGCCCCGATGTGACTGGGGTCGGGGGGAAAGCTGGAAGATGGTACAGAGAGACTACCTGGGTATGCGGGAAGCTGATGTAGGGAAGAGGTCTTGGCATGATATGGAGAGAGTCCTCCGGGAAGGGTGTGACCTGGTGGGTGAGAATGCCATAGAGGTAGGACTCTGTTGTGTCAGGTTTCTCGGATAATCATGGTGTGGTCAGGAGGTTCCTGAGGACTACGATGTGGTTTTAGGGGCCTGCAGAGGACTCTGCTGTGGTTTGGGGGGAGTCCCAGAGGACTCATGGGGTTTGAGGGATCCTAGAGGTCTCTGGATTGGGGGAATCTACTGGGAAGGGTAGATCTTGAAGTGGATGGACCTTGCTGTGGTATGGGCTGAGATCCCAATGTTCAGGGAAGGCTCCAGAAGGATGGGATCTTGAGTGAGGGGCCCTGGGGAGGGCCACAAATAGAAATGAGAGGAAAAGAATGAATCCTTCTCTCTATACTGTCTGTGCTTTCTATCTTTTCCTCCCCCCAATTATTGGTGTCTTTCTGTTCTCCTTTCCTTTCATGTCCTATATCAACCCCCCAACCCCCACCTGGACCCCAATCATTCCCTTTTACATGTTTTCTTTGTGCTGCCTCATTCATTTGTTTGATCATCATTTGTTGAGGGACTCTGCTGTGCCACCCCCCACACACACCCATCTGCCACTTCTCTCTGCCCCCTGTCTTCATGGCTACCTGTTGCTTTGTTGCACCCTTTTTCTCCTCCCTCTGTGCCCTGTCTTCTTTCTCATGCCCACCTCTTCCCTGCCTGGCACCGTCCCGCATATCCCCTTGTTCCATGTTGTTTCCTTGCCTCCCGCCTGCTCTCAGGTCTCAGCGGCGGTGGCAGCCGAGGTCCAGGATGCGAGAAGGCGCCCCCCGGCCGGGCTCCCGCTCCAGGCCTCACTCCCCTGCGGCCCTCTGAGCCCACCATGGCCGTCCCACCAGGCCATGGTCCCTTCTCTGGCTTCCCAGGGCCCCAAGAGCACACGCAGGTACGCACTCAGCTAGCTCCTCACCTGGGGGTAAGGGGAGGCTGGGGATAGAAGGGTCTCAGGACCAAAAGATAGTATGGTTGCCCAGGATAGTCTTCTGGGGTCATGGTGGGCCCCACGGGAGTGGAAGATAATAGAGGAGTTGCGGGCAGAGTCAAGGTTTGGAAAGCCTGGATTCAAATCCTGACATGGCAGTTAAATTACTTAGGTTCTCCATACTTCAGTTTTCTGTTCTAAAAAAATGGAGCTAATAATGATGCCTACCTCACAGGGTTGTTGTGAGGGTTAAATGAGTTAATGAACTGCATGTAAAATGCTGAGAACAGTACCTAGCACATAGCAAATACCCATAGAGGTTCACTAAGAAAAAGACGTCCAGAGTGAAAGATCTGGAGGGGGCGAGTCGGGAGGAGGGTTGACCCTGAAGGGTCTTGGGGCCAACAGGGCCTGGTCGGTACCAGGGAAAGCTCTCCAGGATAGAGGCAGCTAAGACTCTGAAATGTAGAGTTTCAAGCATGATACAGTGGGGGGTCCAGGGTGCTGGATCCAGATCCAAGAGCTTTGGGGTGAAAGAACTGGGTGGAGATTCTCAGAGTTGGGGGTGAGGGTTCGGAAGGCCCCAAAGAATAAGGGTGAACTGAGATGGGGGGACTTCAGAGGTGGGATACCCAGAACAGATGGTCCCAAGCTGAAGGATTGGGAGAGACAGAGCCCAGGTTTTTCCCATGATCTCTCTCACTGAGGTTCACCAAGGAGTGAAGTTGTGGGGTGAAAAAGCTGACTAAGGGTCTGGGTGAGAGGTCAGGGATATATAGTTCACTCATTCACATGACAAACGTCTGATGAACATCCTTTATGTGCCGGGCTCTGCTCAAAGCACTAGAGCTACAGCAAGAATACGACAAAGTCTCTGCCCTTGGGGAGTTGATATTCTAGTGGGGGAGTCGGACAGCGACCAAATAAATCTGTGTGTGGTAATGACGCAGCCCATATAGTTGGCCTTCTTGAGTTTGGGGGGGTGAAGACCTGTGCAGTGCCCACCTCTCACCCTGCCCCGCAGGTACTGCCTGATGTGCGGCTACTGCCACGGAGGCTGCCCTTGGCCTTCCGGGATGCAACCTCAGCCCCGCTGCGCAAGCTCTCTGTGGACCTCATCAAGACCTACAAGCACATCAATGAGGTGGGCAGGGCTAGGGGATCCCAGGCTAGGTGCTGAGAGGCCTTGGCTGCTGACATCAGCCACTCACCAGTCCTCATCTGGCCGGCTGGGCAGGTATACTATGCGAAGAAGAAGCGGCGGGCCCAGCAGGCGCCACCCCAGGACTCGAGCACCAAGAAGGAGAAGAAGGTCCTGAACCATGGTTACGATGACGACAACCATGACTACATCGTGCGCAGTGGCGAGCGCTGGCTAGAGCGCTATGAGATTGACTCGCTCATTGGCAAAGGCTCCTTCGGCCAGGTGTGGGACACCCTCCCCACCCTGATCCAGGGATTAGGGGCCCGGGCACCCACTGACATTGACCCATGCACCCAGCGTTTCAGTGGCTTTAAGTCCTGTGCTGGGCCACTCACCCCAGCCCACTCACTCAGTTTCCTTATGCCTCAGTCTATTTCTGTAAAACAGTTCAAATAACAAGACTCTCCATATAAGACAGTTGTGTTATTTTGTGTCCAGTGTTTACACCAGCGCCTGACCGATAGTGAGCACTCAACTATGAATTATTAGTAGTATTAACAGCGTTATTGGTGGGTCTCCTTTGCTGGAGGGAGAACGGCGCCTGGCTCTGTCCTGCCTCTCTCCCCTGTTCCTCCAACCCCCCGCCCACTTTGTGATGTGCCCTGCCTGGACAGGTGGTGAAAGCCTATGACCATCAGACCCAGGAGCTGGTGGCCATCAAGATCATCAAGAACAAAAAGGCCTTCCTGAACCAGGCCCAGATTGAGCTGCGGCTGCTGGAGCTGATGAACCAGCATGACACAGAGATGAAGTACTACATAGGTGAGGCCTGGGCCTGCAGGGCTGTGGGTGCCTGGAATAGCAAGAGCTGGAGCTGCTGGGGATAGGTCGCTGTCCCCCCAGCACCACCCCAGCACACACGAGGGGGCTGGTGTCTGGTCTGTGACTCCTGCTGCTTTCATGATGCGCTTGATAATGACGGTCAGAGTTCATGAGTGCTCCGCTAAAGGGCCAGGCTCTGTTGTAAGTACTTTACATAAATTCACTCTCCACAGCCCCATGAGGGAAGGGGCATTATTGTCCACATCTTGGAGATAAGAAACCTAGGCATTCAGGTGCTGTCACTTGCATGAGGTGACAGAGTTTGTACTCGGCTGAGCTG